CCGCAAACACGTGGCCTGCCAAAACACACTTTCCTTATTCGTATATTCTCAAAACGACAATATTGCATTGTGGCTTAAAATGCTGGGTACTTCAAATGGGCTTTTTAATGTGAAGGTGGCAAAAGCTGTAAAATAAATGATATCTTACATATATATATACTTTTCAAGATGTCTACATGTCCAATACGGTAACCCTAGCTCCTTAAATATAAGAGATTTGCTCAAAAAACAGAGTTTCACTAAAAGGACCTACGTTCCACATTTCAAGTCTCTAGCTCTTATAGGTTCCGAGATTTTTGCGTTCATACATTCAGACGGACAGACAGAATTTATATACGTTATGGGGTCGGAGATGCTTTCTTCTGCCTGAATTCAGGGTATAACCTATTGAAAATGGTTAAAAAGGGTATAATTTATTTGTGCAAATGTACGTAACAGGAAGAAGTAAAGAAAGCTAACAACAAAAAGTCCAAAATATTTCGCAGGTGTTCCCAAAAACGCCCAAGTTAAATTTTTAATCCAAAAATTTATTACTTTTACAATCGAACTCTGATTTTGGGCTTTTTAGGTTTCGTTTTTGGCTTCTGTACAGCAAATTGAAAGTATTTTTTTTGGCATGAAACTGGAACCCGTTTGACTGAAGCTCGAAACAGCTTTATAGTTTTTGTTTTTTTTTTTGTTGTAGTTGTAGTTGTTGTTGTTGTAATGTTATGGCCTATGTCGCAGCTCGGATTCTTGTTAAGCGCTTAGCACGTGACCTGCAAGAATCTTTTGTTTATATAAGCAGCTGGCATTGTATATATAGCTCATATCTGAACTTATAACGAGCTTTGAATAAATTACACTGGGCGCAACGCTCGCAACAGTTGCAATTGAAACGTTAAACGGAATTTTCAAGCCTCATAAAAGATGCTAAGCAAAACAAAGAAAATCAAATTATTATAGGCCATTTCGGTGAAGCGAACCCCAACGAAAATTGAGTAATTAAACAAAAGTAACACTGTGCAGCCAGCGGCACCTTAAGTAGAGCATTCAACTTCATTTGTGTGTTATGTGAAAGCATTCAAAATCAAATAGGGTACCTATAAAAAGCAAAGTCTTGCAACAATGTGGCACGCGTCGCACAATTTAACTGAATGCCGCATGCTTCTCTCCATTCCCAATTCCATATCCACGAGCCGCATACAATTTTGCAACTGCTGGACAAGAATGCTGGACAAGCTGCATATCGAAAGTGGTCGCCAAAATTTACGCAAGTGCACGGCAAGTGCCCGGATACCGAAACCCTCCTGTGGCAAGTGGCAAGTGGCAAGTGGCAAGTGGCAAGTGACCAGTGACTGGTTTTTTTTGTTTGTTCGCCTGGTTATCCCAACCAACGAGCTGTGCTTGGATTTATGTAAGTTGCTGCCACGGCGATTGCCAGCGACAAGTTTGTGTCTTAAGTCTTTCGATTTTGGCGCTCATAAATTGTTTGTGCAGCCGGCCGCCGAATTGCGAAAGCCAGATAGACACATGCAGCATGATAAGCAGAATAAATAAATAAATAAATATGTACGATTCCAATGCATTATAATTGCATATTTATGCGCTTTGCTGGGCCCAAGCAACGATTACAAGCTGCCAGTTACGTGAGCTCCAGCCATCAATTAATATTGATAAATATAGCTTGGCAACTCAAACACATATTGCAATTATTACAATCCGGCTGTAATCTTATATGGACTCTCTTAGGTAACCAAATCTAGTGAAGCAAATATCGATAATCGAATGAAACGATGGACGCTTAATTGTATGCCCTTCTGGCGATTGTTGGACGTTTACTGATGTATTCGAGAACTTATCCATTTTAATATTTAAATGTACTTTGATTGCGTTTTTTATATGTATCGCCGCTTAACTTCAGCTAAGTTTTTATTATAGATTATTATAAATCGATATTAATATATAGGTTTTGGATAATTGGTAAAATACAATGATCGTAACTTATGAAAGCTTACTTCTTTTTGTAAGTCAAAATATATTTAAATTTATGATTTATGGCTCTACACCAAGCATAACGACAGTTTCTTTCGCTGTCTGAAAAAACCAACATGATATTGCCTAGATTTCAATTCCAGAATATAAGCCAATAATTTGATTGTAATTAAGCAGCTATCAACAAGCTTCTCATCTGATAATACTACAGCCTGAGCTGTTTTCAGGTCTCATGACCTAATCCACTCTTACTGGCAAGTGGCTCTGGCTCAAGTGCAGTTGGTGTTTATTAAGCGCCAGGCAATGCGATGAAGCCAAGCCTAAAAATACAAGAAAGCAGTGGGACACACAAACACACACACACTCATAAGTGCACGCCCTGAGTTGGTAATCCATGTAAATATGCCAATGATCTTTCGCTGAGGCAGAGCCGCACCGGCAACAACTTACACTTTTTACCGGCTACGTTTGACTGCTTTCACTCTTCATTGGATTCTTTCATAAATTTACACACACACACATACGTAACATACATACACGCGCACAACAGGTAGACAGTTTAGCAGCTAGAGAGAGAGAGAGAGTCGGAGAGAGAAACAATTTGCGCGACAACAACGACAACAGAGACAACAACAACTTTGCATTTCTTTCACATTGGCGACACACGGGGCGTATGCGCAATGGACACTGCGAAGTCCATCAAAACGGCTGTTGTTGCGCCTTCTGATGTGTAATTAGCGCTCAATTGGCATAGACAACGAGACAGCGCATGGCCACATTTGTTGTGGTTGCTTTTTGCCACATGATTAATGAACTTTGCCGCTTGCCAATTGTCTAGGTAATTATCTGGGCAGGGGCCACATAATGAGCTTGTTTCGAAAATACGAAAACAGGATACGGGCAGCGCCAACACTCAGCAATTGTCAATGTCTACCTAACGATATCTCTCTGACTTTGTGTCCGCCTGTCTGTTCGCCCGTTTGACTCTCTCACACAAGAAATCATCATTATCATCATTATCAAGCTGCTGCCCACTTGAGCTGCTTTCCCACTGTGCGGGTGCTGGCACCGCACTCAACAAAGAAATCTGTTAAATATGCATAGCTTCAAAATAATAATAATAAAAAAAAACAGCAAACAAGCCAGCAGTCAAACAACCAACAAAAACAACAACAACAACAACATCTGCTATCAGCACTCATCGATTTTCAGTCAAACTTCGAGTGAAAAAGAAAGTGAAGCTGGCATCTGGCATCTGGCCACTCGCTGTAGTATCTCTGACTCTGTCCAAACTTCAAATCAGTTTAAATTTAGGTTTGTGTTGGATCTCTTTTTTCGCTCTTTTTGTAATTTCTGCACTTTGCCATAAACATGACAAATGAATGCTTAGAGAAATATTTGCTGTTGCTTACAGATTTTCTATTATGCAAATCGAAGGAGCGCTCGTCGACACGCTTGTCTAATGCATATTCATTGGACATCGTATACCTAACCAATACCTTATACATGAATATACTATCCACACTGTCTGCATATTAGATGGCCGAACTGTACAACCCTGACAAAAAAAAGGTAGCTGCAAAGCAAAAGCATCGCTCTCGGCAACTACCATAGCTAGATACTTCAATTAATGTGAACTATAGATATTTATAAACCATTACCAAAACTAAGCTATATATTGTTTTACGATAATTCCTGCATGCACACCTTGAGAATATTTTACTTTTGGACACCTGCCTCCATTTTGATTTGGTCAACTCCGACATTTGTACTGCCTGTAATAATATGCAACATTTAAAAACATCTTTACCACTTAATTAGTCGAACTTGAAAAAGTAACAACCCCATTTATTGCCTAGAAAATGCCAAGCTCTTTTGAATAACTTTCGAACAATCCTTTGCTAGAAACACAAGCGACATACGACGATCTCGTGCCACTAAGGTCTTTGCCTATATTAATGAGAATACATCATTTTAAATCTTGGCCTACTTTTATTTACACAAATCAGTTAAGCCAACAGGCAGTCGATCGATTTGCCTATATATCCATAATTAAAAGATTAGAGCTAATATTCATCTCACTTTTATCTCATGCATATATTACCACACATTTTGAATGCGTGTGTATTTGGTATGGTGCTCGCGCATTTGCATAAATTGGCAAAGTCAAACAGAAATAAAGCTAGAACTTTCCCCATGGCGAAACTTTTCTGGCACAGCTGGCACCCGCACCCAACCAAATACCAAACAGCGCACGGCTAATGCATATCCATATTAGTATATATAATTGTGTGTTTGTGTGTGTGTGTGTGTGTGTGTGTGTGTGATGGGCACACTTCTACTCTTGTTACAGCTGAACTGAGGCTCGCTTTTCACTTGGCGCGCAAAATTAAACAAAAAACTAAATTGAGTGGAAACTTTTTCCATATGCGGGTAACTTGGGTAAAATGCTAATTGCAGTTGTTAAAAGTGCACACCAAAAATGAAAATTGTTGATGCAAATGAAAACAACAACCGCTACAAAAACAACAAATACAACAACCGCAGCAAACAACAAAAAACGAGAGCAATGGCAGCAGCTGTTGAGTTTGCGTTCTGCAGCATCGAGCAATACAAAAGACTTAGGCAACGAACCTGCGCAGCACCTTACCCAAACGCCAAAAACACTGCGCCTGAACAGTAGATCGAGCCTCTAATAATATTAATTAGCAAAATCCAATCCAATTGTCCCAATAGCAATATCTGGCCTAGCCTGAACCAAAACTTAAATCGGATTAGTTGGATAAGAACAGCCTCTAGCTAGGCATGAACCGAACCAGTTAAACAAATGAACCAAAATAATTTTTTGGATTTTGGATATTTTAAAATAGCTTTGTGCACTTACAATATTTTGGTAATGGAAAAGCTCCTTTCAAAATGAGAATGAAGAAAACTTCACCATTTCCACTTTATCTTCAAAATAAACAGAACTCTTGCTCAAATTTGTGAGCTTCGTGATTAATAACAAATATAATATATGCACTTACCGCTTTTTTTATTAATTTATTTTTTTAGTATATTGTATGGCTTACAGTCCTGGCTTACAGTCCTGGCATCTATACCAAAATCAAATAGGATTTCGAACCAGTGTATTACACAACTTTTTTATTTGCTCGCAGCGTGTCACCACATGCACTGTACAAGAATATATATGCTACCTTCAAAGGAAGGTTGTAGCAAAAAACAAACTAAAACATATTATATCTTTTATCTGTGTACGGAGCTTACTTATTTGCATAGGCAAGTAGTTGGTTACAGATAAATTAAGACTGTTTTTGCGGCTAAGTACTGGGTTATCTTCGCCCCCCGATCAGCATGCAGTGGAACGTTGCAGCTCATTACTCGTACTGGTGCTCCCATTCGTATTCGTATTGGTACTTGTTTGGAACTATGTGTGTGTGTGTGTGTGTGTGTGTGTGGGAGTGTAGTGAGGGCCACATTCATCAGTGGGTGATGTTGACTGGCCGCATGCCTGGCATACGCAATTTAGAATACAAACACGAATACGAACACGAATACAAATTGAAATTTGCAATCGAATGTGGATCGAGGTTAATGTATGCGTCTACATATAGTCACCATATAGCTGACAAGTGAAAACGTTGGCCACGTTTCTCGAAAAACCGGCTGCGTCTCACACATTCTGACTGCGTCTCTCCCACTCTGCCGACTCCCACTACCATTTGGGGTCTGGGCTGAGCGGTCGTTGACAGTGCTCAAATGCCTTGTTCCATCGTTTATCTCACTTTCACTCGCCCCGCGATCAACATCAACAGCAACATCATCATTGTTATTATTATTATTACTACTGAGATCATAAGTTGAGTTGAGTTGAGCAATCTTATATAGTACATCATTTTTATTATTATCTTGAATTTATAGATCTTTAGCAGTATAGAAAGACTAGCGGTTATTGCCCGGCATTGCCCGTGGAACGTTTTGTGTACAAATTTTAGATATTACCTTTCCACTAAGCACACGTCCTTGGAAAATTGAAATCTACCCATCTTGATCTCCAATTCTATATATGTCTTAAGAGTCATCGATTAAAGAACCAAGTGTTGGAATCAACGGTTTCCGCCCATGTTAGTCTTGCGGTGAGAATCTTGAAGCTAAAGAATAACCTTCGTTTGTTGACCTGCATTTACCACCCAAAGTGGGCCGATCGGATGGTAAGCAAAAAACATTCTCAACAACCAATTTACGACTTTTGCGGGTGGAATTTTCCAAATTAGCAAAACACGAATTTATTATATTCTTATGTAGAGCTTTGAAAATAAGTTTGAAGCAAATTAGACTAAACTTAAAACTTCGACCAAAAAACCTTTGAATCGCATTGAAACACGTCTCAAATGATTATTGAATTTGAGGGCGAAATGTCACCCACCAAATCGTTGACCCCCATTTCCACTAAGGAGGCATTGATTTTACAAAATGTGCGAAACACCCCTCAAATGAATTTGAACAAAAATTTTTGCAAATAAGTTTGAGACCGATCGGATTGTACACGAAAAAGTTGCATACAAACATTCCATGCGATTTTTTCACACTTGCAGATGGAATTTCCCGAAACCCCGTCTTAATATGCACCTACATCGCATAAGGTAATTACATTGAAAATCTCAGCTTCCCAGCCATTCAGTCAGTCAGTCAGTTAGTCATTCATTAAGTCAGTCAGTCAGGACAAACAGTTTTATATATAGAGATCTATCTCCATTTCACGTCAAACACATAAGAAATGTATGTTTTCGAATTGTTTTATATAAAATTGGTAATTGTTTGAAAAGCCAAGCTTCAATCCAAGCCCTGAGTACAAAGATGTGCTGTAAACAGACCTTCACATCCCGACTACTCGCGGGACTCAATAAGGAACTTAAATTTTAATTATTTTAAAGCTGAACTCCGTGTTGCTTTCAAAGTCTGCCCCCAGACCTCAACCTGAACGATTGAAGTCGTACCTGTGTCCATTGGGGCAGCTCTGGACAGGGCACTAGCCCCATTGTGTGAAGAATTGATCGTCAAATGAATTCGTTCGGCCAAAAATTGGAATCATTAAGTTGCTACACGCAAAGCTGCACCACGCCAAAGTGTCGTCGCCCCCCTATGCAGGATCTTATATCTCAAAATGGATTAATTGAAGGCAAGATCTGTGGATTAAGGTGTGGTGCATGTAAGGTCTTATATGGCCGATTGGGTTGTGCAGCATGCGCTGATAATCTCATCGAAAGCAATAAGAGATAATTCCCACTGACCAACTTTATTTCCAGGGACTAAGAAGCGTTGTGAGCTATCTGAGCTGAAACAACAGACGACCTTCGAGAAGACGTAATGGCAACTGCCTGCTTTCCGAACGACTCGAATGAATAAGCAGTTTGTCATCGGGTGCGATGAGGCAAATGGACATCAGTCAAATATCATATCCAGAAAGTGCGGTTCCTGTCCGACGGAAAGAAGACGAACCGAATATGCATATTCTCTGTGAATATGAGCAGCCATTACTAGGAATAGAAGAAAGCAACTGGGCAAAGAGGGGGATAAATTGTTGTTTCGGGACACAGAAAATAGAATTTTTATTATTTACTTGGATCAGACAACAACAATGCAAGTGCAACAACAATAAATTTGATTACAACACAGACGTGAAACGTATGAATTCACTTGGGCTTCTGTAGCTCCGGCTCCGGCTCCGGCTCCGACGAGCGCTCCTTGGGCTGTGCCACATCCAGTGACGGTGCGAGCGCCGGAATTAGCAGAAACTCGTTACAGAGAAAATCAGAGTCCATGGACTGCGTCTTGTCCTGATAGCCGCGCACTATTCCGCGCTTCGGTGGCTCGATGAAGCTCTCCTTGACAATTAGCGCACCCGGATGCGGCACCGAGGCAGTTGGTGATGATGTGCTGCAGCCAGCATCCAGGTCCAGTGAGCAGCATTCGGACAATGCATTGGGCAGCCGATTAAAGTTGGCCGGGCCGGAGCTGCAGCCGGCTGCAATCGTATGCTGTCGCTCCTTTTCGCGTGAACGCTCGCGGTGATGCTGCGGCGATCCATAGATGAGGGAGCCAGAGCCAGAGCCGGCACCGCTACTCTTTAAATTAATGCAGCTCTGCGTATGCGAAACATTTGCATAGTCATCCTTGGTGCTGACTAGTGGCACCCGCTTCAGTGTATTACTCTCAAATGGGAAATTCGAATTCGAAGTGGACTGCGTCAGATTCTCAAACTTACGCAGACGCGCGTCCTGGCGCAACTGTTGAGCCGCCGCCGGCAAATTGATGGACGCATGCAGCGCATTCGCCTCCGGACTGGTGCCGGCGCACTCAAACAAACTGATATGCTGCTGCATGCGCGGCGAGATTGGATCGTGAGCACGGCGCACGCTTGGACGTGCATGCTCCGGCGACGCTTGTGTTACGTGCACCGGGAGCGCAAAGCAATACTTTGGATCATCAGTGTCAACCTCCGGTGGTGCAGTGGCATGTGTCGGACAGCAGTAGCATGATTCCAATATAGGTTCCGTGTCGGCAAGTAGCGAAGGTGTTGTCACTGCAGACATTGTACCATCCTCGTCGTCATAATCAAAGCCCTGCAAAGGAAGAGTACCAGCAAGTAGCGATTAAATCATGCAAATTCATTTTTTTTAGCCTGCAAAAAGAGCATATTGGGCTTGTGAAAATGCATGTAATAAGCAGAAGGAGGCTTCTCCGACACCAAAGAGTATATTTATTCTTGACCAGCACCAACATCCGAGTCGATATTCGTATATCTGAATGTCCGTGCGCATGTGACCTCAGAACCTTTTAAAGCTAGAGACTTGAAATTTTAAACTCTCGACTAGAGTCCCCTTACTTTTTGGGTATAGAAAGAAGCTCAGCACTCAGTGCCGGGTATCTCCAAGCAGGTCATTCTCGGTTTTTAAGACTCGTGAAAATAATTTAGAATGCATTGAAATGAATTTACGGAGGCTACTAAAAAGTTAAGTACAGACCCGCCACCAAATTGTAGGCACACTGCCACGATAGACCTTATAATGCACATTCAAGGGCAACGTGAAAAGGGAAAAATAATAAATTCATACCCATTTTAGTATTTCTTATGCTCTTTGAAACAATATAATGCGCTGAAATGGAATATATGATGGAATCGATATCTTGTCGATAACAGAGAAATGGATAAATTTGTAATTTGTTTGACTGGCCGGGTCCTGCTCACTCACATCGACGGAAAGCGTCATGGAACCCTTGTTGACCACCATGCTGAGATCCTGGTCATCAACGCCAAGGCTGACCGGGGTTAAGCAGCAGCTGCTGGATTCTGCTTCATCGCAGATGCTCAAATAGATGGGGCCGGTGCCGTCATCCCGCTGCAGTGTGTCCTCGTTGATGACCCCAAATTCGGGCAGTTCCTCTGGTTCATCCAGCAGAATGTCGACAGTGCTCAAAAGACTGTAGAGATATTTAAAAAATGAGATACCCGTGTATTGTAAAAAGAGAACACGCTCACCAATCCAGTTTCTGATTTTCATCGTTATGCTCTTGCTCTTCCTGGTCCTTTGATAGAATGTCCTGTGGCTTTTGCGGCCAAACTTGTTTGCCATTCGTTGGGGTTGTGTGTTCAAGTTGTTAGTTTTTTGGTTCGCATTACAGATTGATAGTGTTAAGAAGTGAAAGGGAGTGTAAGAAACAGCGAGCGAGAAAGAGGGAGCGCGCGCAGGAGTCAGAGACTCTCAATGCGTTGAAGTGCGAGCTGAAGCTTTTCAAAAGGCAAGCGATAAGAGAGACAGAGAGACAGAGCCAGAGAGGCGTGCGATAATGAAACGTGTTACGTTATAGCAAAGAGAGCGCCGCAACGAGCGACTAGTGCGTGCAAGAGAGTGTATTTACTATATACATACATATCTATATGCTAAGGTGTTTAATTCAATATTTATTCATCTATTTGCGTCCTAAGTGAATTAGTTACAATTATTTAAACCCAGTTGAAAATATTCATTTAAAACTGATAAATTAAAAGGTGTAAAATTGAAATCACTCCGCAATAACAAAATATACATATTTAAGATCTCTATGAACATTAACAGTGTTGGATAATGAAACACTCAAACCATAGTCAACAAACAATCAGGTGTTGGTTTATTCCACTGAAAATTAAAAACAAAAAAAAAAAAACAAAAATACAGAAAAGAATACAGAGTAAAAAGAAAATTAAACCATATTTATCGGTTGATTTTAAAAGACTTAGACTTATCGATAAAATTCAAAAACATTTTGACGCAAGGTAAGAAAATATATACATATGTATAATGAAAATATGGGTAACACTCGAAAATTATACGAATTGAAAATTTTGAACAAGACATTTCAATCGAAATCTTTAGAGAATCCAATGAGCATGCTTAATCATCAGATGATTCTTGAACACAGTCACTATCTCAGGTGCGCCAACCAATCCTTGACTTACGCTTAGAGAACTTACGCTGTTTTTGTGCGGTTAAAATGTTTTTCATTGCCGCATCGTTGGCATCCTCGAATTCCGACGACTGCACCTGCTCCTCGCTCCTTGCTGGCGAATTTGGCTGATGCGGTTCCATAGTCGAATCGGACTCGCTGATGATAACAGAGCGATCGCATTTGTCGGTAAATGGAGCGATCGTACCCCTGACCAATTTCTGTGTGGACAAGTCAGAATCCTTTTGGTCTATCATCGAGGAGAAGGCGGCCATCGAATCCGATGGGATAGATACCGAAACAGGCTGACCTACTCCAGTCGCCAATATCGATGCTGAGTTACTAACAACAGTTCCCTCAAGGACGCGTGGCGGCGAACCAGTCGGCGTCTTAAAGATCTGGGCTAAGATCATATCCTGCAGAAAGCTGTCCAGCTTGCGCAGCGATAGCGCATTATGCAGTGTCTCCAGGGGTCGGATCGGCGGCACATCCCCAAAGCCTAAACGCAGGGCACATATGTAAACCGATTAAAATTGCTTAACACTCGCTTCAGCTATCAAACAATTAGTATTCGAAGAAGTGGATGAAATGTAAGTGAATATGGTAGAGGATTCTGCGTAAATACGAGAGCTACAGGATTATGACATGTGCCCCATATTTAATTACAATATTAATATGTGCGTATTAGTGGAATGTGTGCGTGAATGTGAATATACCACACAAAGGCTAGGGTTCCTAAAACAAAATGCGTTTCCGTTTCTGTTCTTGTTTTTGTTTGGTGCAGTGTAAAAAAACAAATCAGAGTTCGCGTTCTACGCAGCTACTTGATATTAGGTACTTTAGGGATATCAAAAACGAGTCATACGACCAACGAATAGTACATTACATTTCTAGAACTAGAACTCTGAACTACTTCAGAATTCCCATATAATAGTTATATACCAAGTTTATGTTTTAGTACCTTCTATTTTTGGTTAATCAAATACAAGTGGTAAATACATTTATTATCTGTTTCATTTTGTAATTTATATAAATTTTCTTTTATGCTTTGTATTTTTTGTTCTATTTGAATAAGCTTCTTAGGGCCATTTATTGACTTTCTTTTTCATCGTATCGAGTAATACTTTTCAACTAGAAAAATTGAAAAATAAATGTTAAAATGAGCAAAATATAATTGTATATATCTCTACCAACAACATAACCTTATAGCTCCTTTTGTTGTCTAAGACGAATGTTCCTTTGTTGATATCAACGATATAGAAGTTACAAATTATATTCATAAATGATTTGAGTATCTAACATACACATCTATGTAGCTGCCGCTTAGAAGGCAGCTACTAAGTAACGTTGCTGTGTCGAAAGCGTAACAAGAAATGCGTCTCTAATTCGCAAACAGTTCAAGTAAAGACTTGTTGAATAGTTCTTAATAGTGCTTAAAAAATAGTAAAAAGCATGCCTTTGTTATACCCTTGTACACATATCTATATATATATAACTGATCTGTATCAACAGCTACATAGTTTTTTTTTTTTTTGTTAAAGTTTTTTTCAATTTTTTCATAGTTCCCAAATAAAATGCCATAAAGAACTTTGTATGAACAACTTTTGATAGCTTCACTTTATAACTACTGTGTGAAAACTTTTTGGAAAACTTTAATTCTCTGCATTTAAAAGCTTAACTTTACTCCAATATCATACAGCTCTATGCTGTTATGAGCTTCATTATCTTCTTAAGATATATAAAAAAGCCAAATGATTTGTCTCTTTTGTGGTCGGAAATAAAATCACTTTCAGACCAGACCGTCTACAAGGGTATTTAATCTACGGCGTGCCGCAGATAGTCTTTTTTTCTAGTTTTTAATATTTTTGGAACGATTGAAGAAACTACAGTAGTACATCAATGGAATAGTTTTCAAGTATTTATGTAATTTCAATTTGTATCTGACATATATGTACTTCTGTGTGTATATTTGCGCTTTATTGCGATAGTAATCTGTGGACAGCTAGTTAAAGGTGGGGCTCAGTTCATGCATTCGTTTTCTTCATGTAGTTTACATATGTGTATTGTTGGTATAGCTATGTGTATTGGTGTGTGTATTGGCAGTGTATTTGTAGCGAGTTTGGGGCTCTGTGTGTTTGGTTGTGTGTGTGTGTGTGTAGGTGTGTGTGGGTTTGTGTACTCACCGGATGATGATACCGGTATCATATCGCGTAGATTCGGCGCCGATGAGCTGCCGCTTATAACTGCCGTACTGAAAAGGCTATTCGCGCTGGTGGCCATCTTTTTGCTAAAACCACCGAAACCCAACATTTTCATATAGGACATCTGGCCGGCAATACTGTGTCTTTGGCGACGCGACGATGTGGACGAATTGGCCGATGATACCGAGGCCGATACCGAGACCGAAACGTTGCTATCTGTAGCGATGGTATTGGTACAACAAGACGGGGGCGTTGTGGTGATGTTGTTGTTGTTGTTGTTCATTGTGGTTGTGATTGTGTTCGTGTTGGTGTGAGAAGGTGATGGTGGTGTTGGTGTCGGTGTCGGTGTTGGTGTTGGTTGTTGTGGTGCGTCAGTTGAGAGGGGATCGATTGAATTCAATTGGTTAGTAATGGGTTGATTAGCAGACATTGTTGCTGTAGTATTAAACAAACTTATTGTTGTTATTGTTGTTGCTGTTGTTGTCGGATTGGTTGCTTTTTTTGTTGTGCTTGGTGCTGCTGCAGTTGCGTCAGTTTCAGTGGATCTGTTTGCTGTTGTTGTCCTGCCTGTCACTGTAGCTGTGCCAGTTATCAGCACGGTGGGTATATTGTACACCAGCTGCGCCTCTATGGCCGTCTGACTGGGCATGGTTGTGGGCGTTACATGCTCCGCAATGGGCGCAAAGCAGCTGACAAAGCTATTGCCAGCGGCAACGGCGGCGGCGGCGGCGGCAGCTGCCGTTGCAGCTGATGGCGCTGCCGCAAAACCAAACCGAAACGGATTCTCGGGCTGCACTGGCGCCGTGGCCGGAGCCGGCGGCAGCAATATGGACAGCTGGCCACACGAATGACTGTTGGCCTTGCGCTGGCCGCGCTCCAGTTGTCGATGGCGCGACTCGTGCGTCTCCATGTCCATGCACAGGCGCAGCGTAGATGCTGTCAGCGAATCGGTGCAAGGCTCGACAAGCGGCACGTCATTGGGACGCCGCTGCTCAAATATGCCGCTTAAGAGCACCGCAGGTGCCGAGCTCGATAGTTGAAAGTCGTCCTCAAAACTGCCAGGAGCCGCTGCTGCTCCTGCTGCTGCTGCTGCAGCAGGACCATCACCACCAGTTGGGCGACAGCTGGCGCTACTGGCCGACGGCTCAACTGTGGCTAGCTGCATGAGACTCTTGGAATGAGCATGCGCTGCGGCTAACGGGAAGGAGTTGCTGCTGCTGCAATTGCAGCTTAATGGCCGCTCGTTTGTGGCCAGCGGCGATATTTGTGGCAAATGGATACCCTCGAATTCGGGCTCCTCGCCGCTGACCATGCGCCGCATGCTCAACAGAATGTGGCGCTTGTGCGTGCGACTGCAGCCGCCAGGATTCATGTTGGCGCACTGAGGTGTTCCCGGCGTCATTGAGAAGTCAATGTCCGATAGCGGCAATTCATTTGTTGACGAGTCGATCTTGAAGAAGGACAATCTGTCGGTGACGCGTATTTGTATAGCGGTGCGGTTGCTTCCACTGCTAGCCACGCCCACGCCCACGCCCACACCCACGCGTGCATTAGCAATCTCGTCAAAGGTAGCCGCCGGCGCTGTTTGCGATTAGTAGAGTCGGGGGGAGGGTAGACGTATTGATGAGGTCACGATTGAAGGAAGTGTGCGTATGTATGTATGGTCGTGTGTGTGTGTGTGTGTGTGCATGTATGTATGAATATCGTATGTACGTACGGGTGTTTGGTCGTAAAGTATACAAACAAAAAACTAATTAGCCGAAGAACGCATCAAAGTTGATATAGAAGAAGAAGAAGAAGAAGAAGAAGAGGGGTACAGGTACATTCGGCATGCCGAAGACTAAACGCACCTGCAAGCACGTCTATGAAATTGAAAGTTCCTCAAACTTAACTATTCAAAGGGTATCAATGCGAAACAATGTTTACTATTTAGTATATACATGAAAAAAGTCTTTCTTTATTTTTTATTCGTTTTAAATTTGATTACTTTATTTGAAAGTATTTAATTTGTATACCCTGGAACCTGGACATTGTAGCCTCTGTCCATTAGCCCTGTCCGTCTGGAGAAACTCTTTGATCCCTGACTTGAAATATGCAATAAATATTCGCCTAATCCATACACAACACGGGTATTTTTTTTATGGATATTATTTCCCGTTTCTAAAAGATCGATTATCGTTTTTAAATCATAATTCAAAACCTATGAGAGCTAGATATGTGGCTTCTTGTGTGGTATTTTTTGGATGTCTCTTCTCATTCCTTCAAAATTTGAAAAAGAAAATCTCATTTTAAAGATAGAGCCTTGGGATTCAGTAAACACACACATTTTGGTATCAGAAATTTAAAGATAGACCTTTTTTTGAGGAAGCTCGTCTCGCGGTTCAGGGTATTTTCCAGTCGGTCACACCCGACGTTTTTCTTCCATGAATTTTGTGTTATTTCTTTTTCTAATTGATTTATCATTTTTCTCATTTTTAAATATGAGCATTGTAATTTTCCTGTTTCTCATTATTTTTGTAAGTTGTATTTTTGAATATTGATTTTTCCAATGCCAAATATTTATTTAATAATTCTTTATGTTTTTCAAACTTTTTTCATCTATTACTAATAAAACGGTAACAAAAACAACAAAAAAAACAGCCGAGCTAAAATCGACCGATCGCATAAATCTCTGATCGTCTGAGGCCACTTGACAGTCAGCATGTCAGTTAATATCATCTTAAAATTTTTGTAGCGAAAACATGCGCTGAGGTATTCGTAAGCTTTTGTTTAACAATTTGCAATGTTTACTTAAATGCTTACAATTTGGCACAAACGATATGATATGGGAGAGTCGAAAATCCAAGTTCCAAGAAGGGTATGATTGCATCTTTAAAATTACATGATGATTGGTGGAAAACGGTTGCATGAAAATCTAGTTTAGGCTCATTCTCAGAGATCATTGAGAAAATTCATGCTATTCGCAAAATTCCCCCCTGTTAAAGGGTTTAAGGGCGAAAGTTTGAAAATATTATTTGCCTTATTAATATTAAACTGTCAGAAATTTCAAAGATTTAAAAAGCGTACTGAAGAATACGATAAGAATCGTAACAGATTAGAAATTTATAACCAAGACAATTGTATAAAACTTTATTACTAACAATATTTGTAAGGAAATGTTTTAATTGATTTGAGAATGGATTATTACACATAGAGACTATAGGATATCGGATTTGACAGGACAGACGTAAATTTCTAATACTTTTTATGGGTACCCTCAAATGCAGTGCAGATTGTTCTAACTAAGCCATTAATCATATTGCTTTGCAGGCGCCTTTTAAAATTTCGGGATGCAGGCAGAGCGTCGACGGCGTAGAGCAACAGCAGGCGGCGATTGGTCAGAATGAGTCCGGTTAGTTGTGAGTTAGAGTCGGGTTAGGCTTTGGAGGCACAAGTAATCGTTAGTCTGGTTGGGTATTTGCGCGCACAACAAACAAAGGAACAAACAAACAAACGAACAAACAAACAAACAACAACAACAACAACAACAACAATAACAGGAAGGAGCAACAACAAACATATTACATTCATAGCTAAGAATGTTACAAGTGAATGGAATCAACACAAAATATTCTCAACAATTTGTTTTTTTTTTTTTCAATTCGGCGGATCGAATCATGCATTAAACATATATAGATAGACAGAGACAGACCGATTGATAGATAGAGAGCGAGAGAGAGAGAGAGAGAGAGAGGTGCAGACGCAACAAAACAGTCACAGACCAGACACATACAGATATATACAAATAGAGAAAGAGAGAGAGAGAGAGAACAGGGCATTGACAGAGACAGAGTGAGAGAGAGAGAGAGAGAGAGAGGGAGAGTGCGCAACACTCACAATGCGTATAAACCAACAATTGGGCGCCAGCAAGGCTCTCGCGTTCACTTTAAATAATGGGCGTGGCAGCACATCCTGACGCTCAATCGTTTAGTTCACGGCCAACGCTGGCTATCAGGGACAGTATTTGGATCTTGGGGCTTTTCTTTGGATAAGAGTGAATGTTGCTCAAATCAGTTTGGCTGCATTGCCAAGTACACGGGATTCCGCGGCCAGATGCCTATCGATTTTCATTGATTTCCCCAAACTCCATCTGTGAGCTATCTGCCGCTTCCGAGAGTCGATTCGGAGAGCAGGAGAGAGCTCAACTAGGATCAGGAGTGACACAAACACAGTAGCCGGCAATTGTGGTCTCATGTGGGTGCTGGTTAAGTGTGTGTTTCATATTTTTCTTAACATTTTTCATTTGAAATCAGATTAAACATAATTTTTCTCGTGTGGAAAGAATGATAATCAAAAATGTTGGGCTCAGTTTTCGGATAAACAACTGTTTTCTTTTTGTGATGCTTGAAAAAATGTGATAAAAATGTAAAAACATTGAAATCATATTGCTTGACATTCGGGCGCATCATCAATCGTAATAAAAACAAAAATCATAAAATTAAAAACAAAAGTAAAGGAAATTATAATTCTAAATATTTAAAAGTAATTATGGGCGCATCCAGAAGAGAATTCTGTTCCAATTTACTGCTGAATATGTTTCGACTCTTTCTTCAAATAACAAGCGCAAAACAGATGGTAGATCCATTTGAAAGGCGTGGCAATAATCTCTATATAAATTTATATAAGTCAATTCTAATGCTTATCTCACTGCTTAGCAAATGAAGAAAATATGGAAAAACCCCCCAAGGATAATCGGAAAAGGTTAAAGTTTGAGTTTTGTTAGGAAATTTTGCATGTTTTAAAGATAGCTGCGGGCTTGCATACCCAATAAATTTGCAAATAATTTTTACTTAAATTAAAATGCGAAAATTGTTTTTTTTTTTAATAAACTAACACAGATAAGCGTTTTTTTTTTTATGCAATTGCAACTTGGACAAAACACATTTTGTGCACGGGCAACGCCGGGTATTTCCTTCAATTAACATTATAATTACACAGCTGAAGGAGATCAACAGCAATTCCGCACACCACAAGCAATAACAACAATTGTGTTGTCTCTAGTCTGAATGTCGTGAAAAACAAGTACTTGTATATGGAGAGACGGACGGATATGGCCGCTTTCCCTTTGGCTATAGGGTATTAAGCCGTAATATTCAGCAGAGATGCAAATTGCATGAGGTACTGTGCTTTTCTATTCTGAATGCGACCAATTTCTGCTAGGATTGAGGTCTCTGGTATGTGGTTTGTCGGTTTTTGGTGGGGATCGGGTTTTCTTTTTGTGGAGGGGGGGTTTTTGGCTTCGTGTTACGGGCTTTTCGAGAGTTAGAAAAAACGGGAGTTTGCAAAACGCGCACACAATTGGCATGCAGAGCAACAAATAAAGAATAACCAACATAGATATCTGTTTGTTGGTTAGAATAACCAACTGAGCAGAGGATAACGTAGACAAATAGCCGGAGGTTAGTTGATATAGCCAATTGTTTTTGGTCAGTGTGTTAAGAAAGCCAATTGAAAATTAAAAAAAAAAAAAAAATGTTTAAACAAAGAGAGAAAAAATTAAGAAGATAATTATAATAATAATACATAATAACGACAAAAGTATCAACGAATATTGAAATCAAATCAACAATAAAGTTTGAAATAGAAATGGAAAGTAAAGCCGGCCAATGAGACCCAGTGGCAACTGGGCAAGGGGTGGGTCAGCGGCCAGGCAGCAATTATTGTTGGTTGCATTGGAGACAGGCGCACCGCCCACATACATACCCGCCTCCTTGCCGCGATTGGCCGACGGCGATCCACGCTGCTCAAAGCTGCGCGAGCGCGGCTCACAGTCTGGACTCACGGCTCGTATATCGGGACTAATGGGTCGTAGCTGTTGCTGCTGCTGTTGCTGGTGCTGCTGTTGGCTCTGATGCAGCTGCTGTTGGTGCTGCGAAGCGAGCTCCTCGTTGAGACGCTTGGCCAGATCCATGGCCTCGTGACCGCTGACCGTGTGATGGGCTCCAATTGGAATTGGCTTCGACTTGGCCTGCTTGGAGCGCAGATCCAGGCGATTAAAACCGAATGAATTGTTCGATGAATTCCGTAAGGGGCACTAGATAGATAGAGAGAGAGAAAGAGAGAGAGCGAGACAGACGAAAGGGAGAGAGAAAGAGAGAGAGATTTTATTTAAATCACGCACTTCCATGCGGCATATACAGTAGTTTCGTACGCTACGCTTCTTGCCCTGCTGCTCATCGCCTGAAATGGTATCGTTCTCCTCCTCGATGCGTGATGGATTTGCCTCCTCGTTAGACTGCAAGCTCACGCTGCAGGAGTTATCGCCGTGCGAGTGCGGACGAAAACCGGGACCAGGTGGCAAATTCTTTTGTACGCAACAGTTGACGCCGGGACTGAAATGGAGCTCGACATGGAAACGCTCCTCAGAGGTGGGATCCTTGGTCGGATCTTCATACAGCATTATGACGATCTGGGACATGTAGTTTAGTTCCGATACCATCGAAATATAGTCCATGGCGCGACGCCACTGCTCGTCCGTGACAACATTTAGCAATCCGCCGTAACGCAGAACCGTCAGCAGCGAGTGCACATGCGACTCGCTGGTGAAGTAGAGGCGAGTGCGAACATGACGCTGCGGACTGGCCACGCCGTGACTGTAGTGAGGATTCAGTCGATTCATAAACTCATCCTCGATCTCGTCAATGTTGCGCTGCAAATCGCCCTTGATTTTGCGAAGCAGCGGCGAGCAAATACCCTGGCCAATGGCCAGTTTCTCCTGCGGTGTCAGTCCGTATTCCTGTGGTATGACTATATCGGCCAGATTCTTTGCGTAGATATAAAGCTCCTCGGCCTGGTCGTACTGCAGCGTATGCTGATTATGCTGCAAATCGTATTTGATGCAATCGTAAATGTCTGGAATTTTTGATATATCAAACAGTTTCGATTTGGTGCTAAAGTCCTTTTCGATTTTCTCCCAGCGACAGCGCATTAGATCCCATGTCTCGCCGTGATAGAGTATCGCGTCCTTTGTCTTTGGATCGTCCTTCTTGATGCTGATTATGTGCAGCAGTTCCCGTATTAGCAAATGCACATGATGACAACAGTCCACCGGATTCTTAACAAAGTCCAAAGCTTGTGTTATCGATTTGCTGTTGCACGGATTGATCAGCTCGCGATCTTCCTGTGTAAACTCGCGATCATTTTGCATCAGCTCGTGCAGTCGACCCTTGGCGCTGTGTGGAGCACAAATTGTAGATTTTGATTCAAAATAAATAAACACAAGCTAAATGTTAAGTCTACTGATTAAGAATATTTCCCTTTGGACACCTCTCTCTGTTCTCCCCCCTAGGCTAGGGCTCGCTTGGTTACAGAACATGTTATAAAACCCGAGTTATTCGAGAATGTATTTACCCATGGAATGGGACAGAGCGCTGCAATTTGTATGTCTGCACATTTAGGAATTGAAGTCAGTTTATCTTATGGTCGTATTCTCGCCCTAAGTCTCTCACTTCAATATCTGGGACATGTTTAAACTATATACCAAAAGTCAGTATCTGTTTTAATCTATTTGCACATTGGTTAGCAAGCCGAAGACAGCTTTTAATCGAATTCTCGCATCCACTTTAAATTTATCAAACATCTATAAATTGCCTACTTATTGTAGAGCTGCTCTCGTATCGGAAGTAAATAATTATTCAAAGCATCGTTCAAGCAATCGTCTAATAAATAAAGCAGCAATTGCGACATCTGTTTGGATCATTTGGATAGATACTTACAGGTTCTGGTACTTGCTTGAATCGCAATCGTTGTCCAGCAGCCCGTTTGTATTGGCGCTCTTGACCATTTGAACCAGAATGGGTGTCAGCTCGCCTTCGAGGGCCAGTAGACCCTTGGCAAAGGCAGCGGCGGTCATTTGAACGCGTCCTTCGTCCGAGGCATAAATCTTGAGGTCATGTCGGAAGGTTGAGTGCAAACTAAATACATTTGATTCAAATGAACGAACATTTAGCGTAAATTCTAGTTAAGTAGACGCAAGCACTTACCGCAATAGACCCAAACCCTGTGTGCCCGAATAGTCCGAGCGTCCCTGGCCGCCGGGGTACATGCAGCGGAAAATGCGACCCAGCTCCTCGGCCTGGATGCGACCCGCTGGTGTTAGTTCGCCGCCCCATTTAAGTATCAGGACCAGCGAGGGTTCGGCGGGCGTTTCGGCTGAAATGGTTAGGACTTAGCTTGTGGTTAGATAAGTTAACAAAAAATACGACCACCTACCATCATCAGAGCTGGAACCACGTGGTCGACCCCTGGGTTGGTATTTCATCTGCACCTTGCGATTGATGCCCGAGAAGTGGCCATACATTTCGAGCACATTCTTCAGCTGCTCCAGCTTGCTCTCCTTCTCCTCAATCTCGGCATGCGCCTTGGTGTGTATCTCGCTGAGCAAAAATCGTGCTATATCCAGTATCTCCTGCAGTTGCTTTGGTCGTTTTAGCTTCACATGGCCTAGCTTGTAGCCATCATATTTCTCAAAGATCTCGAAGAATCTGCCGAAGTGAACAAGAAAATGAGATACTTTTTGGAAATCGTAAAAAAGGTTTTTATCAATGTTACAAAACAAACTTAAGAACATCTCGTGCATTAATTCAGATAAAATATTTTAAGGTTTCGAATCGAACTTAGAAAAGCAAATCGAATAAGCTGTGAGCTTTAAGTAAAGCTCTTTTTAAAATCATATGCAATTTTTTTAACGGGATATTTAACAACCAAATGCATTTATTTCGTTGGAAGATTCAAACAACATAAATATTATTATTAAAATATAAATTCAAATGCATGCTCCTAATTACTCACAAAGCTGCTGAAAAAAAGTGCATGCAGCTTAAAGTGACGCGAGCTTTAGGTTACCCGCTTAAAGCGTTAAAAGCTCGTAAGCCTCAAATGAACACGACTAATTAGTTTACAACTTTTGTGAGCTTTTGATGCCAACTTAAAACTAAAACCTCAAGAATTTAGTTGCAGCTTAAGATGTTGCGAGCATTTAAAACTGTAATTGGCAATCATGATAAAAGAGTTTGTTTTTTTTTTCTGTCGAAAACTTAATAACTCATGTCAATGGTGATCCAATGACATCATGAATGTAACTCACTTGGGATGTCGAACCTCGACCTTCATTTTCTGTTTGGGCGTCCGATCGCCATGCCGGATGACAGCCACCACGCAGCGCAGCTCCATCATCTTGCCAAAGGTGGTGGGCACAATGGGCGGATCGTCCAATTGGAATGGCACCGACCAGGGTATGTGCAGGGTCGGTGTCAGTTCGCGCAGTATCATGTTGCCCAGTATTTTGGCGCAATCATCGTAGTATTTATTTGAATTCTTCACAAAACTAAATCCATTGACATCGCATACGTAGCTTTTGCCATTGGCGCGCAACAGATCAAAGCCGCAGACGGTCTGCTTGAAGGCCAGGCACACCTTACGTGAGATGAGCTTCTCCGAGTGATTGAGTATGACCGGATAGCGTATCTCCTTGCCCTCGCTATCGCGCTCCACTTTGCCATCGAGCGCCGGGCTCTTGCGCGCCTCCGCATGGGCATAGTCCGGTCCCACGGTATACACCTTGACGTCGGTACCTGAAAAGTACACTAAGTTGTAAAGGTAATGCTGGATTCAGTGCGTTCGACTGGCGGCCACTTTTTCTTGGGGAGTTCGGCAATGAGAGCAGCGAGCAGCGAGCAACGATCGGCGAACGAGCGAACGAGCGAGCGAGACGCAAGACAGATGGCAATGACAATATGCTTAACTTTTCTCATTATCAATACTCGTTCACAAAGTGAAGAAGGGTATATTGGTTCTGTGCATAGTCCGTCTGTCCGACCAAACACAATTTCTTGGTCGTACACTTGGAATACAAGCTCGTATACTCCCAAAGTTTGCAGATTAAATGAATAAACCTTCTGGGGTAGGGGATATATATCCCATCAAAGTTTAGGCGCTAGTGACCAAATTTTAGTTAAAGACTACAGCTGAGCTTTTACAAAGATTAATTACAAACTATTTTGGCAAACGGCAATGTCGAAAATTTGTCGGGTAACTTGTTTAAAAGGCTGTTGTGAACGAGTATTACGCAGTCGGCTGCACCCGACTGCAAGATTCTTACTTGTTTTCTTTCGTTTTTTTAATATTTTTTTCATCTCTTTTTGTGTGTGGGTAGGCGTTGTGATAGTGGTGTGGGGGGGCGTGGCGTAGCGTGACGAGCATGTTAGCGCTGACTAACTTATTTAATTCGTGACTATTTAAACGGTTCTAAATCTATTAAATAGATATATACACATAGTTATATATGCATATATATATATATATATATATATATATATTATAAATTTATACAGATATATACACATATATATGCCAGTTAGGTTAATGCAAATGTTTATCTAGTCCAGCATTAGCTGGAGCGTGCTAGAGCAGCACCTACAGTAGTAGGTGCATTGCAGGGGAAGGGAGCATAGAGAGCAAGTTAGCATACCATCGGTGGGCATAAAGTCCTCGTAGATGAAGGAGCCTGTTTTGCGTACCCGCGACTCCGGCGAGTAGACACTGCTGCGGCTACCGATTTTTCGAAATAAACGCTGACTGCCACCGCCAGCGGATGTTGGATAGTAGATATAGATGTTGTGATCCTCGGCCGAGACGGGTTTCTCAACAAACGGTTTGTTGAAGGTAATACCATTGACCTCCACGTGATCCTCCGACTCAATTAGCTCATGATCTGTAAATTGAAAGGGTTCAATACACAAGCATTTCGAGCTGCGACCGTTGAACTTACGTTTGGGATCGGGCGAATCGCGATCGAGCACAGCATAGCGCGGTATCTCGATGCCCTCCTTCTCCAGTATGGCATAGACACGTCGTCTGTCCTGTATGTCGTACTGCATGTGCAAATTGTTGAGCACAAACGGATTGCGCAACTGAGCATACTCAATGGCCTTTTCTAGCGGAAAGCCCTTCGAGTGAAAGGAGACTAGGCAATCGCATATGGGCCAATTTTGTACCGGTTCGCGCAATATAACATTCTCCTCAAAGGTAACCAGCTTGATGAACTCAAACTCGCCCAGGCGTGTCAGTATCTCCTTCATTGGCTTCGACTGTGTCTTCTTGGCCATGGCACAGATGCCCACAACGACTTGTTTGCTGTTGCTGGACGAGGTGCTAGTATCGGAGTCCATGCCGTCATTGCTGTCCCCGAAATCCGTATCGCCCTTCAAAATATAAATGATAGTTTTTTGGTTAAATGTTGCTTTTGCTGCTGGCAAGTGGTTTATGCTGCGAAAACGGACGCCCGGAATCATAACAATAACAATAGAAATTGAAATTTTTTAACAATTTTGTTAAAGAGCTTGTTAGTTCTCTTTGTTTTGTTTTTTTTTTAGTTTGAATTTTTGCTGCTTCAGATCCCAAGCATATGTCTGTTACTCATATTTCATATGATGATGATATGCTGTGATGATAGATAATTATGTTTGGAGATAGTTGACCTTCTCATAATGTATAAGATATGCTTAACTTCGTGAATATCAAATTTCAAACTATTGAACTCATGCAAACAGATATTCTACGTACATTGACAGCACGAAGTAGCAAACGGATCTGTAGTATCATTCTTATGCTACCTTCCAATCTTCAAAAGCTGACAAAATTGGAACTTATCAAATGAACAGGGCACAGATTATACCAGCTGTATGATATAGTTAACACATTTTTAAGATATCTATATAATTGTTTCATGCCTCAAATTTATGTTTTCCTAAATGTTACTAATTTGGAATAATGTTTGTCGACAATTAGCAGATACAACAGACAGGAAAGCAATGCTTCTTCAGAGTCCAAAAAACTTAGATTCTGCACAGGATCCCAGACTGTAGAAGATATAAATGCTTCCTGATTAGCCGCTCTCCAAGTTGTAACTCTCCAAGACAGATAAGTATACCCCAATTCATTTGTAAACGAGTCGAATGATAGTTTTATAAAATAATTACAAGTTTGAGAGGGTGCGGCATTGAAAACCTTCCATTTGATTACCAAGACAGGTTTTGAATTAAGCTTAAAAAGGTAGAATTATTATTGATATAGATATAGATTCAATTCCTATCGGATACATATTTACTTGATGATGGAAAGACAACAGATTTGAGTGAAAAGTGAGCTTTCGAATTTGGTCTAGAAATGCAAGTTATAAATCAAAACGGTTGCAAAATGTATAATATTGGGTCGAATCGTCGGCACGCCGACTATTAAATACCCTTGTAGAATAGAAGTTGATTCATGCAAAAGCTTTATTTGCGACCGATTCCGGCTTCTATCCGAGCCAAATAATATAGGATTCCGATTTTGCAGATATGCTAGGTTTTGTCATCAAGACCTTAAATACTCTGAAATGTTTTTCTAACAAAACATCAGATTTTGTCATGATTTGTCAGCTATATTGCTATATGATGGTCCCATCTGACATGTGTATTGCCTAAGCCAAGTTTCGTGAGAATAACTTTAAAGTGAGGAGAGTTAAACTATACTAAAATCGAGAACTTGGCTTAAGTTGAGTTCTAAGCCTCAAGAACTGACTATTAAGGAAGCGAGTACGAAAACTCTAGCCCCTCATTTTGTTGTATTCTATGCGTTACAAAGTGCGTGAGAAAACTAGAATAGCCTCTGCTAGGGTATACTGATAATGGGCACTCAAATTTGTTTATCCCTCAACTTGGCGCTGAAAGCGGCTCAAACCCAATTGCTTTGGCCCATTTGACGTTTCAATTAGCGGCGGTTGGCTGGCTTTTTGCTGTTGTCACAACTGATTAACGTGCTTAATTTTAGGCCCGGCCAAGACGCGACACCCAGATAAGGGCCGAGACCCGATGAGCGGCACCTACGTTTAGGCACTCGTCGCAGTAGCAGAAATCGTCGCTGTCATCGTCGTTGTCGCTGGCATTCGAGCAGTTATAGTCCAAGTAGTCGCCAACGTTGAATGGCCCGTATTCGCCATCGTCCTCCTCCTCCCCGTGGCCAGGCAGCTGCAGCCGCAACCGCAGCGCTTGCACTGGAGCACCGGCGCTTCTGGTGCGTCGCTGCCGCACACGATTGCGTTTGCGTCTGCGGCCCGGCCGCATGTCCAGGCTATGTCTGCGCTCCCTAGTGGCCAGCGCCGGTGTCGCCACATGGTCAGCTTCTGCAACCAGCTTCAGGTCTGTGGCAAGCGGCACACTGACAGCAGCCGCAGCAGCGGCAGCCGCTGCTTCCAGTTTCTTTTTGTGGCGCTGATGACGGGAACGCAGCTTTTTGAGGCGCCACCAATCCTTGAACCAGGTCCACTCCATTCAGACTTACACCAAATACCAAAGCCCTTATAGTTTATGGCAAACGCTTTTGTTGCGTTTGTTAATGTGCTTGTTCTTGTTTTTGCCTTTTAATTATTATTATGATTGTTTTTTGTTCTTGTTTTTCGTTTTACAACGGCGTATTTGTTATTGTTTTTAATAGCACATGCATAAATTACAACAAAATTCGCGCGTCTTGTGAGAGTTTGTATATGTTTTTTTTTTTTATTTATCTGAGTAGCAACTCGCGTCGTTCACCGCAACCAACTGGGCAGGTGGCCACGGCACGGCACAACTGCGACTGCGACTGCGACTGCGACTGCGAATGTGAATATGCCTAACGGCTATCAGCTACACTCCGTTGCGAACTAGGGTGGGGCACATTGTGGCGCCACGTGACACGAGTTAATCGTCAAATAAAACTGGCCGTATAATGTGCGTGCACGTAGAACTTTAAAGCCATAATCCATTATATGACACGTACCTAAGCAATTCAAGTATTCGAACGAGAATTCGCATTTATGAGATATTTGCATGTTATAGATACATTTGAATTATTTAGACGTATCTTCTCCAATTTCGTTGTGATCCACACGCATTCCAGCTGCCGCCTGGCTACTCTCTTGTACGCTAAACTCAATAATTTTCTGTTATTTGTTTCTCATATTCATTTATCTAAATACTAACTTGCATGTCTTGGCTGGCACTTTATCTTCATTTTAAAATTTGACATCAACAGTTCGTGTTTGAATTATTTAGACGAAGTTTCCTCGAGCTTATTTTGCATATATCAACACCTTTGTCTATAGCGCAAAAAAAAACCCCCCATTTCCGTTTTTAAATTTGCATTTTCAATTGCCAGACAGCTGCTATTCTCTTGTAAGAATTTGACATGCGATCAAAGTTTATTCAATTTTTGGTCTTTTGATCTTTTCAGTTTCTCGCATTCATTTGCCTAAATACTACATTGCATGTGTTGCCAGGCGCTTAATTTTCATGTCAAATTTGACATGAACATCGAAAAAGATACATTGATATGCACAAACTGTGCTGTTTTGCAATCAAGCAGAGCTCTATTTTTTCCAGTGTCACTGTCAATCATTAAATATTATGCCTTCGTAATATAACATGACAACAATTGCCATGAAGTTTGCAATGAGCTTGCGGAAAACGGACGTGAATTTGACTTTGTAATCAGGCGCTATTTTAGTTTGCATTGGTATTTTGGTGGGTATTATTATAATTTTTTTTTTTTGGTTATTTGCCCAAGTGGCGCTGTAACTTGCCGATTAATTATTTCACGCTACCATCTCTAGTGCGAGTCGGATCGAAATGTAGCGCCAGCGTCGATCGGTTGAGCTTTTGAGCAATGGTTGAGCGTACGGCAATCGGTTGGATTTACTCAGCTCCGTGTTGATCATGATAATTGGCCTCTCCGCCACACACAAAGCCAGAGACGGCAGCGCTTTCTTCATCTAGTTCTTTCATTTGTTTTTGTTCTTATTGCTCTCTTTGTGTGCAATTGTTTTCATACGTTATCTTTGTTGACAGCGACGACAACGACAACAACGACGGCAACGTTTTAAATACAACTTAAATACTGGAAACATACACGTCCGGTTGGAGAGAGCGAGAGAGAGAGGGGGAGAGAGAGAGAGTGGGGGACCACAATACGCCACTTACGTAGCGCTCGATCGCTTATGAGAGCTATACGGTAATTATCAAGCTCAAGGTGTGCGCCACTATTCAAGGTCCAGAGCTACCCGGCCCATGACGTATGCGCGGCACTAGTTAAGGTATTTACATAGACTGGGCTTAAGCTTAGACTGGGCTTAAGCGGTCGCAGCTAATTAAATTGAGTCTATGTTTTTAATATCATTTTGGCGTACACATGGGTGACATAGGACTTTCGCCTATGGACTACGGCTCGGACAACACTACACTGAACAAATTATTTGCTGCTTTTCGAATTTGTCCTAAAATGAGGCACTTTCGTATTTAAAGATGATATTTATCAAAATGAAATTAATTTCAATTTTCGAAAATTTCGAAAAAATGTGTTAATCCACAGTCAAACCTTTGGGTCTAAACCTGTTTGTATCCATAATCTATAAATTCTTTTTTAATTTTTTCTTTTCATAATTCCCAATTTACAACACTGGAAATGTATTCCTGATCCCTTACATGATTAGTTATTTATAATTTTTGATTGAAGAGCTCGACAAAACTCAATATTTGCCTAAGCTTTAGAAATTCCGAAAATCACAGTCTCAGATTTACAGTTTATGATTCACTAACCCAAAGATGCGCTAGACCAAAATAATTTTCAGCACTGCAAACAGGGTATTGCGTAGTCGGTTTGAACTGGACTGCAAGGTTTTGACTAGCTGCGGAATTTAAATATCGTTTTATGAATACAATTTTGTGGAATTTATTAGAGCTTAGGCATGGAAATATCTTTGAAGTGTTCCTACAAAGTCTCATTATTTATCAATTAGAGATTTCAAAATTAGCATACAAAACTTTAAGTCTTCATTTAAAATGTTTGCTGTCGGCTAATTTGAGGTTAAGTGTGGTATATATAAATAGTCCTTCCCAATGCTTCACTATATTATTTGCTTGAAATATACGTTGGCTAAGTCTTCTCAATATTTAATTAGAACAGTTGTAAACAACAAATTTTACAAATTGAAATTTTCGTGCGCCACTTAAAAGTATGCAACGTTTTTTTTCTTTCGACGCTAAACAATGGCGAGCTGTTGCGTCGTGACGTCACAAGTCGCAGAAGGACACGCAATAAAGGGAATTTTATGAAAGCAACTGCGCGCGCTTACCGCAAAAACCGAAATGGAACTGCGGTACGTACATGGATGCCACAAATGGGACGACAATTTGGCAACTAGAAGAGTGCGAATTGTCGGCGGAAATTGGGCCAAATCGTAAGCCGAACGGGCGTAAACAAATGTAAAACAAATAAAATGCGATAATTATGCGACAAAGAGGCGCACAGAGCAAAATAGCAACAAATTAATTAGTCTTGCCGCGAAATGAGCAAACAAATGCAAAAGCAATTAGCACGACAAATTAATATGGCCGAAATACAACAACAACAAAAACAACAAAAAAACAGTAAAGATAAAAAGAAACGCAGGCAGGCAAAACAGACGAAGCAACTTCAACTCAAAAAGCTCGTTCTGAAATCAAGCAAAACGTAATGCAATGCACATAAACAGGCTAAATAGAGTAATAAATGTTCACCGCATAAGAGAATGATGAAGAGCGCGGCTCCAGTGCGTCATTAACAGTTGTTTCTAGTGTTGAAAAAGAGAGAGAGTGTGAGAGTGTGGGAGAGAGAGTGAGCGAGGCTGGGCTTGAGTGCACAGCTGACAAACACAGACACACAGACAGACAGAGAGGCACACAGACAGACAGACAGACTCACTAACACACGCACACGAGACGCACCACCGAAATTTGGCGTTGAGCTGACGTGCGTCAGCAAACGCTGCCTCACGTGGACGTCAGCCTCAGTTGGCGCTGATGTTGCTGACGTTGACGTTGATCCTGGCATGTGCCTGCGCCTGCGGCGACTCCAGCCGCGACGCGTGCTATCTGCGTAAGAGCCGTCGCTGTTTCCCGCGAATTTGTCAAAGCTGTTGCCCATGCTGCGTATATTTTCTAACGTATTCATATGTGTGTGGGTGTGTGGGCGTGTGGGTGTGTGTGTGAAGTGTGTGCGTAGATATTATTCCGACAACTCTGTCAAGCAAGCCGCAGGACCCGTCAAGTGCATAAAATCCAAATTCCTGGCAATTGGTTAGTGCGTCAAACAAGCGACTGGTGAGAAAATGTGCTTCTGATCGATTAACAAACTGCGATTGACATAAGTATGACACATACGCATACATACACATATTTATATGCATGCATGTATGTATGTGTCTGTGTGTTATTAATAGAGATGACACAAGTCCAGGCCATTTCTCTGCGTTACATCGCTGCAACCTTACATTTTCGGCTCAGCGGGGCGCCCAAATGCCAATTGAGCAATTGTTCAGCCAACAGAAATGACAGGTTTATATAAATATAATAAAAGTAAGCATAACTTGCGCAGACCGCAATCGATTTGAATAATAACTTTGTCTAGGACTTGTTTAGTGAAGAGTCTATAAATAGGTTGCACACACTTTCTGTTTCTCAACGAGTTCTCGGTTCCCCGACTGGAAAATAACGGTAACCCAGCGCCTTCTAGCTATCATTACTCATTACATCTCTAGCCGAGCACAGGATTTCTAGATCGATAGTTATCGATTTCATCTAAATGGAGCAAGGTATCGATCTTTTAAATTGGTAGATGCAATCGGAGGACTCCAATGGGATGGGCTTTAGGATTAAGGCTCAGCTATCATCTGATTCGTAAAGTTGCATTAAAACAGCAACGAACAAGTAATTATTCGATAAACCTAACGGATAATCGAGTTCTTTGTTGTAGGAAACACTTCTTCTTTGTCAAGATATCTGGCGCAAGCCTCGCATAGAAAAGTACCTCCAGTATTTAGCCTTGAGACTAGAAACAGACGGGGACAAGGCTATATAAACTCGGCTGTCGATGCTGATCTGGAATATATATCTGCCTTATTGGGTCGTAGACCTAATATAACATGACTCTTACAAAAGTAAGGCATGCCAAGGATTTAATACCCTGGTATACGTGAGAATAGTGAAGCTCGAAAATGCTGACTTTAATGAAAACTTCTTGAAAAACGGAACCGATTCTTCCCGTAGAGGTATATAATATAGTAGTGCGATCTTGATAAGACTTGGCACCCAGCTGAGCTTAAATATAAGATTAAGGTCAAGAACTTTACTTTCGAACGATCGTTCCTTCGGCAACTATATAATATAGGCACGCTGAGTTAAGTTCCGATATCTTGAAAAATAATGAGATTTTCGGACGATTCCGATATTACTTTTTATACCCTGAACCCATTAAAAATGGGTAAAAGGGTATGTTGTATTTGTGCAAAATCCAAATGTATGTAACAGGCAGAAGAAAGCATCTCCGACCCCATAAAGTATATATATTCTTGATCAGCATCAATAGCCGAGTCGATCTAGCCATGTCCGTCTGTCCGTCCGTCCGTCCGTATGTATGAACGCAAGGATCTCAGAACCTATAAGAGCTAGAGACTGCAATTTTAGCTGTAGATCCTCCTAGTGTCTACACAGATCGAGTTTGTTTCTGATAATCGATAATTTAGTCCGTTTCCAAGCAATCGATAAAAATCGATATCGATATCCTGTTTTTTGGGCAATTTTGGTAAATAATAAGAGCTAGAGTCACCAAACTTCACATATAGCTTCTAAAATAGAATATATATATATATGATGTTGAAAGAAGAGGGTTCAGGGTATCGCCTAGTCGGGAGCTTCCGACTAGAACCTCTTACTTGTTCTGCCTGTAGCAGGGGAGCTATGCAACATTTTGTGACGATAGCTTGAAAACTGAGAGAATAGTTTGCATGGAAACAGAGACGAACTATAAAAAATCGGCTCTTGATGCCGATCATAAATCAGTATACTTTATGGGGTCGAGGATGTCTCATTTTGTAAAATCGATTCGTAGCATTCTTAGAGTAAAAATCTATAATTGTGAAGATAAATGAATCGATTTCAACATCAGTAGCTTGATCGAGGACTATTTTTTATGAATCGGCTACATATTATTATTTTTAAGTTAAAATCATATCAATAAATTTGTAACTCTACCTTATGGGTTTATCATTAAAATCGGTGAAGATTTGCGTAAATTTGGCTTGCATAAATGAACTCACCTTTGAGAAAGGCTATAAAAAGAAGTTAATTTTTTAACATTAAAAAACTTTACAATAGAAAATAACATTGTTTCGTCATTCGCGTTTTCGGAGTGTAAAGGTCAAACCAAAAATATATATATATATATATATATATATATATAATATAATAATATAGCGAAATGTTATGGCTTAGTTAATTTGTTCTTACTAAGCGCGCTGCGCACACTAAAAAGTTCTGAGTTGTGACGTCACAACGAGCAAATCGTATGGCTCTCGTTATCTTGGCGGCAATCGCATGCACATGTACACGCATACATACATAATATGTATTACATATGTTATGCTTTTCATGTTGTTTGTTTTGAATGCAATTCGATACGCCCGTGCTCTCTGACACTTCTCGGCGATGTTTGGCGCGTGGCTGTGTGAGAAATAAAGCTCAAGTGCTGCACACAGCAAAAGCACAACATCGCGGGGAAGTGAGAGAGAGAGAGAGAGCGAGAACGTAACAGCAAACAGCAAACAGCTGTTCGAGACGCAGCCAAAGCTGCGCCTGCTGCTGCTGCTGCTGCTGCGTCTGTCATTTGGCACAACAATGTGACAAAGTCAGGGTCAAAGACAAAAACAACAACAACAAACTATTGATTTTGAACAGCATACTGGATATTAAAGTATAGTATGGAGTTATGTGGGGAATGCAAATGTATTTAGATGTGTGTAATGCAGTTATTATTTAAAACTTTCGTTTGATGCGTACATTGCCATCGTGGCCCAGATAAAAGCCCACGCGGTGCGAGTGCGACGCCAGCGGTTGTTGAGTGTGCTGATTCGAATGCTGATGCTGCTGCTGTTGGGAAGGTCCGACGTTGCTCTGCGTGGACTGGCGCAGGTCCTGATATCCGGATTCCAGCTCCGTGTATGACATGCCGATGCTTGGGATCTACTCTATATTTTGGTGTTGTTGCTGTTAGTTTGGCGATTTGTGTTGATTAATGCGAAAAGCAAGCGGCGGCACACATGGACATACACACACACGCACACATATACAGGTCTATGGACACCGGGAGCGGCTGCTCAAATACAAATACGTATACAAGACGCGCCAAGTATACGTGTAACAGATTCACTTTGCATTAATATTACATATATAGAAATATGTGTGTTCAGAGCTTGTCAATAACTAAAACAAAAAACGGTTCGTTGCTCCTAGTTCGTCCTTCGCAATACTGCCAGAGTCCGCGAACAGCGCGTTTATATTTATATCAACAATCCGGATTACGAAAGATGTAATCGGTGTGACCGTATCACTTTAACATAAACATACCTAAATGGATTCAATTAAAACTAAAATACCAAATGTGATGTGGAATAGGGAAACACTGGCATATATTCGCTTACGAATATTTTTTAGATCGACGCAAAGGGTACAAAATGATTGATTGGTTTCCGAAAGCAAATATTTCTAGTAGGGTTTTACTTGTTCAAGATACTAGAATTTGTGCGGTATTTTTAATATGCTTTAATGTAGACATTTCAGTATAATTGCTTTCACGATATATCTTGCTTTCAATCATATACAATCTTGAATTGCTGTCTTAGGCAGATGAAGAAGCCCCAAATGACTGTTGTTGTTCTTTTAAATAACTTAAATGTCAAATAATATTTTATTCGATGGGGATCGATAACGCGATAACAATCGCGCAAAGAGCTGCTCAAACGATACTATCGATAACCGATACTTTTGATGAAAAATAAACAAAACGTGAATAGGAGAGAAGGAGGACTGACAATTTAAACAAAACAAGCAGCCAAACAACAAATGTTGCGCAACCGACTGCTGCCACTGCGATATGCCACGAGCAGTGCTCAGCCCCAGCTCCAGCTCCAGCTCCAATTGGCACAGATCAGCGCGTGGCAGCGTACAAAGAGCAGCAACGCGGGCAGCACGAATGCAACGCGCCAGAGCAAGATTCTGGGCAAGCTGTTTGGCAACCGGGTGGCGGGCACAAAGAAGCGCTGGTATCCCAGCCATGATGCCAGCGGCAGCAGCTCGGGCAGCGGCTATCAGCCGCCGAGCGTTGTTTTTCAGGCATCGCAATTTGGCAAAAGCAATTCGCCCGGCTCCAAGCACAATACACGTCGCATGTCCGTGCTGAACAAGCTGTTTATGACGCACATCACCGACCTGTTGGCTACTGGGGAGGCGGCCGAGTCCATACTGGGCCGTGGCCTGCAGGTGTCGCGCGTGAAGATCAGCTCGGACTTCTCCTGCATCAATGTCTATTGGCTGGGCACCGGGCAGCTGCACAACGATGCCCAGCTGGACGCGAATCTGTCACGTTGCAGCGGCCAGCTGCGCCACGAGCTCTCCCAGCTGCGGCTCATGGGCGAGGTGCCACGCATCAAGTTTGTGCGCGACAAAACTGGCAGCAATATCAACAGCGTCGAGGGAATTCTGCGCACGCTTAACCTGAGCCAGCCGGAGAAGGAGACGGAGACGGAGGAGCAGGACGGGCAGCAGCATTCAACTTATGATACGGCACAGACGGCGCGACTAGAATTTTATGGCACTGCCGCACCGTCGCCGCAGGTCACAGCAGCCATGCCCGAAATGAGGCATGATGTGCTCGGCCTGGATCATCGCCTAATCATGGACAAGATTCTGACCAAGATGCGCAAATCCAAGAGCGCCTGGGAGCAGCATCAACAGCAGCAACAGTCCGAACAGCCATCAAGCGCGGAGCCGGAGCTGGCGCGCATGCAACGCAAAATGGCCGAGGCAGAGGCCGAGGCCGAGGCATTGGCCTCCAGCAACCGGAGCCAGTTTGAGGCGTTTCTGGCCAAGAGACGCGGGCGCAAACAAACGCCGGAACGCAAGAAGCATCAACGGGACCTGGAGGACTGGACGGCAGCGGCGTCCACACCAGACTTCGATGAGCTGCAGGCGCTCACGCCGGAGCAGCGCAAGCGCTACACCCAGGAGGACTACATACTGGAGGATGCCAAGGACTATCGCAATTCGTAGTCCTTCGCGTAGTTTCCATCGAAGCATAGAATGTTACTAGATGTAAGCTAGTTTCGATGTCCTAACTATATAGCTAATCGTTCAGTTTCAAATATAGCCTGTTTAACTTAATTTAAGCAGCTTCAGCATGAATGAATATATATCAACTATTTATATAGGGATTTCGATATTGTATACCCTTGTGGGGAATACAATAGAAGGAGTCATCCCATTATATATTCCTGATCTGTGTCGGCAGCTGATTCGATATAGTTCGCCTCTGTCTCTCCCGTCCGACCCGAACGGATCTGAACACTCGACTCGACTCACACAATTCCACCCGCCACTGTGGAAATTAAGCGGAAATCTGTTGATCAAGCTCATCTTTGGAGATCTTTGTCTAAATTGATTTGTCACTCTTGCGATATTCATCACACTCGAGTGGAAAATGAGCGTAAAACTTTTCGACATCAAAATGCTCGCCTCAAGACTAACCTTTGCCTAAGCCACTTGCCACGGGCAATGCCGGGTGTTTCCCGCCATATAATATGTATATAGATATAGATCTGTATAGAATTTAACTTGATAGTTGCTATGCCCCGTGCAGAACACTTTTGTACTTCTTACACAACTTGTTTACGGCCATATTCAAGTTGTTTATATATATTCTTATTCTTGATCAGCATCAGCTGTCAAATTTTAAATTAGTGACTCTTCAGATTGTGTAGTTGCTGCCAAATTGCAACAATTATATACATATATCTATGGCCCTTGTGGCAAGTCGAATCCATGCAAAACTATATCTGCTTTCTCTTTCGCACTCTTGATATACGCACACTGGTCTAAGGCATGCGAAAAGCGAAACAAAATATATAACTTAACAAACTTAGCGCAGTGAAGTGGACCATGAATGCGCCATAGCAGGACTCCACTGTACCCGATTAAACTATCAATCACAGTTTTATATTCGACTCGTACATATTTCAATTTTGGTAGAAAACAAATAAACACTACACAGTATATATATGTACGTATATAAAGCGTAAACACTGCAGACTTTTATTTCATAGAAATAAACGTTTCAACTCTTCTATTTTTTTTTTTGTTGTATATTTGTCGTTGGGTGGTAAAAAAAAAAAAACAAATTTCAAACGGCATTTGTAAGCAATGTGTGCCACTGTGCAAAGCAGACGCTGTTAATACTGCCGGCTGTCCTGTAAGTGAGAAAGAGAGGCAACATTAATACTGATGCAGCAGGCACATGGCATGGGCGCGGGGGGCGGGCGGGGGTAGATGCGGCGGCAAATGAATCAGTGAAACTTGTATAGCATCAACGTTTGTGCTCAGTCGAAAGATGGTGATAAGTTTGGTTCATCACAAACAATTGCCTTGCTCCCCCCACCCCTTCGCAACACAGTTGTTAACATACCTGAAAAAGAGCTGGTGGTGGTGCTGCTGCAGTTGGTTTACACAGTATATACGAGTGATTGGACAAGATGGAAGTGGTTTGGTCTATTCGAAGAGAGCGAAGCCCATGTCATCATCCTCGGACTCGGACTCCTCTTTCTTCTCCTCCTTCTTGGCTTCCTTCTTGTCGCCACCGGCGGCAGCGGCGGGTGCACCAGCGGCCGGGGCAGCGGCAGCGGCACCACCGCCGCCAACGGGCATGGACGAGAGCTTCTCGCGACCCTCCTTGATCAGATCGTCAATGCTCTTGCCCTTGAGCTCCTTGATCACGCGGGTGAGACGCTCAGCCTCGGCCTCAATGCCCACCGAGCTGAGGATCTTCTCCAGATCGGCATTGGCGGGGCTCTCTTGTCCGCCGAGGACAGCCAATAGGTATGCAGCCACGTAACGCATGCTAAAATGAAAACAAATTGAATATGAATATAAACATTCGTATGGTGTAATCGCTTTATTTAATTGGCATCGCTTGCGCTTTTCAATTGAAATGTTGCGCAAGTGTTGCGTGTTTAGTTTCTGCACAGATTGCGCTATTTGGTTTGGCGCAACCACTTACTTTAAGTCTTAAGTTTTTGACACGAAACGTGAAATGCACAGAAAAACACAACTTTCGCCTAGGAGACCTTTAAACGAAAAGAACTCTGCTTCGCTTTGACACAAGAAAGTCACTTCCGCCTGTCAGCACTGACAGCTGGCATCGCATGCAACCCTGCTGTTTGAAGTAGATGGCGCTTTGGCACCAGAGTTGCACATATGCGTCTCTGTTAACAAACTGTAACTGTAGCACTAACAGAGCTATGTTATGTTAGAATTCGATAGGAACGCGCGTTTTCAAATCAAATTGTATGTCATCGATAATTCAGAAGCAAAACCAAAGCCGGTCGAGGCGGACGTGTGACGCTCGGTGCGCGATATTCAGACTTGTAACTGTGCGTTGTCGCCTGGTGTGTGTGTTGGGGCTTTTTTTTTTTTAGTTTGTTCAACCGTCGTCGCCGCCGCCGCTTGCAATTTGATTCTTTGACCACTGCTACGAGTGTGTGTGTGTGTGGTAATAGTACAAATGTGCGAACGCACTTACAGTGGAACATCAAGCCAAAACCATCCGAAGCCGTTACAAAATCGTAACTGTAAATAAAATCAAATTCCTTTTGACATTTGCCGCGTGTGCGCGCTCAAACCAATAAACAAAACAAGCGACCCATATGCGTTGTACCTGGACATCTGGACTGCTCTATCAAACAATTACTAAATCCCATCTGCACATACCACAAGCGCGCAACAGTCGAACCTAACCAACAAGCGATCGTATAGGAAGAAGAGTCAGCAACGGTCAGCAGCAGCAGCAACAGCAACAGCAGGAGCATAAGCAGTGCGTGTGAAACTGTAAACGGTTTCGCAATCGAACGGCAAAGAAGAAAGACAAGCAAAGAAAAGAAAAGCCTACCACGCGTCGTTCGGCTCGTTGCGCTTGTTTCGGCACTCACGTAACTGTGCGTTGTATGTCCGCCCCACCCTGCCCGACGCCTTCACAGTTCGTCGTCAACTCTGCCGTCTTCTTGTTTGGCAGCAGCAGCAGCACTTCGCAGTCGCCGCGCAGCAATAGACAAAAAAAAATTTAATAGCAGCGCAGCCGGCGTCAGCGTCGACGTTCTTCGCTCTTCGTGCGTGCGTGCGTGCGTGCGTGCGTGCCTTTTTATCTCTCCGTGTGACTGTGCGTGTGCGTAGCTGTGCATGTGTGTGCGTGTGTGTGTGTGCGCGCATAAGGTGTGGTGTGTATACAAAATCGATTGAACCAACGCCGCAGTCGTCGTCGCAGTCGCAGTCGCGTTACGCGATTTTCAACGTATTTTTTTTTCTTGTGCAGAGTTTTGCATTGCATTGTTGTTGTTCTTCTACTTCTCCACCGTTTTGTTTTTTTTTTTTTTTTTTGTAAATTGTTTGTTATCTCTGGGATATTCGACAAATCGAAGCTGTTCTGTTTTTTTTTTGTTTGTTTGTTTTTGTTGCGTGGGTGTGTGAGCCAAGAGAAAAGAAAATTTGTCAATGATGGATAAATCAACAACAACGAACACGGCGAAAGCTAAAGCCGCAACTGATGCTAATGTCCAAAATGAGGCAGCAGCAGCAACAACTGCAGCTGGGTGTGGCACCAATGGCAGCAGCAGCAACAACAACAGCAACAATGCTGCCACCGCTGACGGCAGCAACAACAGCAGCGCCAACAACAACAACAACAACAGCAGCGCCAACAACAACAACAACAACAATTGTGGCCGGCAGCGTTATTCGCAGGCTGCGGCCATGGCAGCAGCAATGACCACAACAAGTGCGCTGCTCAGCAGCAGCAACAGCAGCAAGCACAACGGGAGCAACAGCAACAGTTCCACAACAGTTGCCAGCACAACTGGAATGGTCTCGGGAACTGTAACTGGAACGGGAACGGGAACGGGAATGGGCACGGGAACGGTAACTGGCAGCAATATGATGATTAACCTCAATATCAGCACCACAACCGGCGGCAATTTCGGCGTCAGCGTCGAGCCGCACATCAGCGTCGAGAGCCTGAAGAAGATAATAGCCAAGAAACTGAAAGTGGCCAAGGATCGCATCTGTTTGCTGCATCGCGAGAAGTGAGTATTGCATCCATATGCACATATACATATACACATACAGTGTACAGTGAAAGCTCGCTCGAGCCGACACTCAAGTTAAAGTCCTGCTAAAGAAGGAATATAACAGTTAAATAAGCCGTTTATTTCAATTTGATTTTGTTGATCTCATTTTTCTGTTATTATTACATTTACCGTTAATATAAAATAAAATGTGTTATCTTTCGTTAATCTTCGTAACGATGAAGCTTTTTCTCTCTTGTCACACTTGACACACTGCCCCCCCCCCTCCCCCCTCTCTCTCTCTCTACTGCAAGTGTGTTTTTTAAACACGCGCTTTTGCACTTAACGAAACTCCTTTAAAAGCCAAACAACAACAAACTTGACGACAGGCGATAAATTCGTTAAATGTTAGTTTTGCCTCTTTTACGGTTAAACATACATACATACATGCATCTTTGGCAGTGTATGTGTGCGCTCCTTTATCTATTTGAAAGCTTTGCTTAGCTAAATGCTTCAGATTATCGTTTTATGTTAACGCTTGGTTGTGTGCGTGTACTTCGCTGTGCGGTCTTTGTTATGCTTCGTTGTGTGTGTGTGTGTTAGAGAGGGAGAGAGAACGAGAGCGCACGTTTTGCTCTCATTTGTTACAAAGTTAAACTCTAAAGCCGAAGAGATACAGCAAAGTAGAGTTAGAAAGTGAGATCGAGTCGCACAAGAGTGAGCGAGAGAAAAGAGAGAGAGAGAGAGAGAGAGCGCGGGGCAAGCCCTTCAATATTTATCCAAGTGCGAAACAAGATACCCGCTGTTCACCTGCGCGTATAGGGTATATACAAACTGAAGAAAAAAAGAGAACATTTCTCATGCTATTTTATTACGAAAATAAAATTACAAAATAAGCGCAGCGCTGCTGACGTCGCCGATCCAACTAGTTGCATTGCAGCGGCCGCGACGCTTGCCGGCTTCGCCAGAAGCGAAACAAGCGAACAAAAAAAAGAAAAGAAATGAAGAAAGAAACAAGGAGAGAAATAATAATAAAAAAAAAACGCATACGGCTTGTTTTTTAGGCCCTTTGCAAGCCACCAAGCAACGCCATTCCTCTCTCTCTCGCTCTCGCTCTGCTTCTCTCAGCGCGACGTCGACGCGCTGTGTGTATGCGTATGCAGCGCTGCGGCTGCGGCTGTGGCTGCTGCTGCTGCTGCAGGTTAACAGTAAACAGCGCTGCATTTGTGTACAGTGGGAAATGTGAACATGTGCATTTTAAGGGTTTCCACCAAACGCAATCTAAACGTGGTGAATACAGCTTAAAACGGCATCTAAATGTGGTGAATATTGTTGAATATTCATGCTGAGCCTGAACTCGTAACTCTTTTTCTTTTATTTATTTAAACACTGCTTGAACAACTGTACTCGGTGCAGGGCGAAGACTTGAGAGTTTTTAAATGCAGCATTTGCTTTGTTGGCTTTTTGCTGCGTCCGCCAGGGCTGCGCCTTTCACTTTGCGTCATGCTGCAAAAACACAAAATACAATATAAAAAAAAGTTCGCTGATAAGAATTTTGTTGTTTTTTCTTTACTTTTTTTTTCGGTTTCTGCTTTTGCTGCTTGTTCAGTTGTTGCATCTGCTTTTTGCCGCTTGCCACTGCAACAACAACAACAACAACAACAACAACAAGAACACGCTCCTTTTTTGTTTCCACTTGAAGTTGTTGTTGGTTTTCGTTTTTCTCTTTGCTTTCAAATAGCCGCTGCCCGCTGCCCGCAGCTGACGCCGACTGCGCAGTCACATATGTCTTTGCCATGTGGAGATTTGATTGCATTTCTCTTGTGATACCCTGTAATTGAGAACTGCTGAGCTGCAGTTGCATGAAAAATACCTATACAAATATGTATTAACTAACGATCTCGATAGTTTTCTTCTTTATTTTTTCCACAAATCAAGAATCGATCAATTTCTTGGTTTTGGCAATATATCGATAAAGACAAAATATCCAACTTGTTTTTTTAAAAGCTAAAGATAACAAATGCAATGCAGAGCGAGAGAGCGAGAGAGAGAGAGAGGGAGAACTCTTCATACTTTGGCTTTGACATTCACGACAGGCAGGGTATCTGCTAGTCGGGCACTGCTACTTGTTTTCTTGCTTTTTTGTGAGGCGTTGATGCTGCGTCTGCTGCGCTGCTGCTGCGCTGCTCCTGGCTCTTTGTTCTTGGCTGCAATCAAAATTGTTGCTGTCGCTGGCTGCGCTTATCGCAGCCACCGCAAACGCCCCCCCCCCCCTCCCCCACCTCTCCCCTTGGGGCTGATGAGTTGTGGGCGCTAGGGCGCCGAGCCGGGCTCTCCTTTGTTTGCTGAAAGTTCTACGACCACCGAAATGTCAGATGTTTCTAAACCCGCAGAAGCCATAAAAGCAAGCGATACAACAGGATGCAGGGGGTGTTAACCCCCCCCCCCCCCCCCCCCCCCCCCCCCCGCATTTGGGGCAACCAGCGAGCGGCGCTGATAACGCCTGATAGCCTGATAGCCAGACCCGACCCACCACCAGCCCGCAAAGCCTTTCGCTGCAAAAGCTTTCTGCGTACCATCCACCAGAGCCAAGCCGAGTCCCATTTCCCATTTCCCGCGTAGCGCTTGCTTCTTGGAAGCGCAAACTAAGAAAACAGTTCGAATGTTGCATAAATGAATATTTCTGATGGCACTCGGAAAAGTCACAACCACCACCAGCAACAGCAGCAGCAGCAGCAGCAGCAGTGAATTGAACAGTAACAGGAACGGCAGCAACCACCGCGAGACACCACCAAATCCATTGACAGCATTCCTGGTGCTGTAACCAGCATAACCACAAAACCCCCAACTATTTTAACTTTGTATAGGATATGCATATATATATATATATATATACAACCCTTTGTTTTTGCTTTGGACTATTAAATTCAAATGAACCAGAAAGGGGAAGACTCTTCCGGGGAAAAACCTTGACGGACTGGAAATCTAGCTCAGATACGCAATATCTCAGAAACTCTTGAAAAGCACTTGAAATGCACAAGGGC